ATATTCATGCCACAAAACGATATGAGGTGGCCTGCCCCAATGTCTTGAGTCACGAAATAAACTGCTCTTGATTACAGCTTTCTTGGAAAGATTTGTCGAATCTCGACGTAACTGCCCCAGGTTGACTGAATTCTGAATAGATTCTTCAATGTGATAGCCTCTGATTGATCGAGCTTAAAGAGATTTATCGACGTGATAGCCTCCGATTGATAACTTTGAGGGAACGCCCCAGATTTGGCTGAGCTTGGAGATATCGATTCTCGACTTGATTGCCCCAGACTGGCAGTTTTAAGGGAATGCCCCAGATTGATGGAATCTGCTAGCTTTATCCCTGAAGGGTACTCAAGCTGTGAAGCACCAAGATGATTTCTCTTAACAGAATCTCTGGTTTAACATGCCTCTGGATTAGTCATTTCTCTTGTAGCAGCTGACTCTTGCTTCAACAGGGTATTCAAGCCTCTCTTTTCTGACAAGATTGAGCTCTTCACCGATTGTTCATTGTGCAAACTTACTTGATGTCAGTCAGTTTTTTTGTATGCAGAAGAATGTTTATTATGAGAATGATAATTCTAATGCAACACATATGTAAGTCTTGAAGTTTGAAAAAACTTTGAATGAAATGACGTCGCAACTCTGTTGTGAACGAGTCACTAGCTAGAGAGAAACATTTGCAAATTTTTTTTATGAAAGATAATGCAAGCATGTGATGCCAAAACAGATATTGAGACGTACCTCTTAGGAGTCAGTTAAACGCTATCTCGTTGTAGCAAGCTTTCGAATTGACCCATGCTTCAATTAGGACTTTTATGGGTTGTAACGTGGCCTGGTTCACGTTTTTTAGAAAAAAGGATTTAAGGCTCAAAATTATTTGGTGCCCACCCATTCTCCATGATGTTCTCCATTCCTACGTTCAGTTGACCTGATATAAGCGCCCGTCTCTCGAGAAGAGTTTGCAATAATTGAGGAACCACAATGGTTTCTTGGACACGACGGTCACTAACTTCTTTGCCTTTGGTGTCTGATCAGACGAATTTATTCTTTGATGAGGATTTTCGTTGGTAATCCTTTTATCTCCTTTTAGGCTTTTTCAATTCCCTTATTGCTTTTGCCTGGACATATTCTTTTGAATTTTGATTTGGATGTCCAGCGGGATGCCCTAATTTTTGCCTAAGTGACTTGTTTTCAAGTTTCGACTTAGCGGGGATTTTTGTTTCTTTCTTATTCATATTTTTCATTTTGAACAAGTCGTAGATCTTTGCGTTGTCTTGATTTGTCAGTAGTGATCGTGACTTCCTGAGTCTTTGATAGACAAGGGATAGTCGTTGTTGTATTGTCATTTGTCGACCTCCTGATGTGCGAGAGATATCCATTGGGATATTGTTAATTGATGCACGTTGCTGATAGATGAGGGTTGACCACTGTGGTTTTGACTTTCCTCAACCTTTTCCGGATAACCATTGTTGTATCCTTGGATGCACACTCTTGATGAGTTCTGAATGCTTGATCAGATTAGCTGAACACTACCCGCCCCAAGGTTGAAATGAGGGTTTTTTCTGAATAGAAAGAAAACTCCTACTTCGAAGGCTCAGAGGGGTTGACGAGGGTCTCTCTCCCTTATATCTCCAGTGTTTGGGGATTGAAACAAGGCCTGTACATCGTCAGCAGGGTCCTACTCAAAAGCATACCAATCAGAGATTTTTGCATTTTCAGATTATCGTCATCCTCCTTTGAATCTTTACCTAAGCATAAGACTAGGAAATCTGGCATCAATATGCAAGTAAAACATTTAAAGAGTGATAACGAATGGATGAGTAAAAATGAAAGGAATACTTCAAGACAAGCATACTTATTGCATTAAGATTTTCGTTCAAAAATAGACAAGTTTCTATATACAAGCAATGTTTAAACAAACAAGCAAGAATGCAAATGAAAATGCAGTCAAAGAAACCAATGATTGCCATTGTTGAGGAGACTTGACTCCGTATGGACTTGCTGACTCTGATGATTTTCTGTAGTCTTGAAGCTCGAGTGTGCGAGAGAATTCCCTTTCAGATCTGATGTGAGCGTGACAGTCTTTGAATTGATTCAGTCTTGGACTTGGTCTCTGGATGACATACCATCTGGTTTATCTGAGTATTTAATCCATTATCTTCCTGCTTGAAGAAGCTTCTGACTACGAGCCAAAGCTTTCATGTACCACTCAGAGTTATTCTGCATCTGATCCTTGAACATGTGCGGTGAGAAATCAGGTTGAACCTTTGAAGAGAACCCCAGGTCTGAATAAGAATCCCCAATATCCGGGTACCTGTCATGAATGCATGAATATGCATGGGGTGCATGAATGGATGCCATGTCATGTTCTGTCATTTCCAATGAATTTTCGTGTTTTGATTTTGTTTTTGCGCAAGTAAGGGATGGAAGAATTTTGGCACAAGACTTGCAAATATGATTCCTTGAAAATAACAAAACATGTATGTTAAGCATGCAGTTAGCCAAGTTATGTATGCAAAGGCATGAGATCAAAGAGGATCATGGTTCCATCATTCCTGAATAAGGTTGCTGCACTGCTCTGGATCATGTGAGTATCATCAGATCAGAGGTCCGACATAACTTCTGCATATATAAGAACCAAGTACCTTGTGGATCTCCCATTGTCCGGGATCAAGGCTTCTGGAACATTGGATACTGTTGAGAATTTCTGAACATGCTGGGAATACCAAGATTGAAGGATTGAATGAACCTCCAGGTAAACAAGTCAGGATCTCAGAAAATAAATCTGAGAACCATACGGTCACCAACAGGATATAACATCTGCATAAAGCCAGAACAGAAATCCGGATCATAGCCATTAGACCCAATAGTCACTGCCTGAGCATAGTTACCATTTGAATGTGAGTAACCATCTGCATATAGTCACCATCTGTACCTGTGATAGAAATTCCCTCCCCACTCACGGGTGAAAACTAGGTCAGTGTAAGATAATGGTAACTCGAAAATCACGGGTTCGCCTGAAAGTGCTATGGGCTTGCCCACAGACGTGAGTGCCGATAGTAATTCATTTGAACCTCATCCGAGTGTGGTATATGACATGACTGCACTAATCAGACCACGTCCTATAGCCGTCATGCCCCCACTCTATTCCTAGTGTCCTAGTGCACTATGGCCTGGGTACTGGGCCTTTTACCTCAATAGTGACATCCCCACCCAACATAGAGAACAGAGTCCAGCATAATAGATAACAAGAGTGGATACCGTAGAGTACTACAGGCGTGTGGGGTGCTAATACCTTCCCCTCGCGTAACAGACTCCCTTTCAAATCTGATTCCCCAGTGAAGTCGCCAGCTGAAACAACCGGCTGAAAATCATCAAACAATGAAGTCGCCATCGAACGTCTTTTAACCCACATGTAGGGAAAGGTAAACATCGAGAAAACCTGAGAAGGGAGAAGTCACGGTCTTGCGACCGAGAGATCGGGTAAGGGAGTCTGTTACGCGAGGGGAAGGTATTAGCACCCCACACGCCCGTAGTACTCTACGGTATCCACTCTTGTTATCTATCTTATGGGTGTGTTTAATCTATGCTTACTGTTCATTAATGCTAAGGGAGAATGCATGCAAAAGAAAAGGGAAAAAATGTAGGGAAAATAAAATTGTGCTCGCTTGGGCCCTACCCCAATGCCTACGTATCCGTTTTGAGGAATCAGAGCTACCGTAGTTCGGCTCATATGTTTTGTTTGTTTGTGTTTTTTGTGGACGAAGTTAATTCCGCCTTCTGCCGCAGCTCGACCTTTGGAGACTTATGCGTTGGCACAGAAGTAAATTAATCGTGTCCTTACCTGAAAAGGGTTTTTAAGAAAGGTGCTCGAGCGCACAAAAGATTTGAATTCGTTTATATTTTGTTGTAGATGTTTTTTATGGACGAAGTTAATTCCGCCTTCTGTCGCAGCTCGACCTTTGGAGACTTATGCGTTGGCACAGAAGTAAATTAATCGTGTCTTTACCTGAAAAAGGGTTTTTTTAAGAAAGTGCTCGAGCGCATAAAAGATTTGAGTTTGTTTTGTTTTTTTGTTGTAGATGATGACTAGTCGACCTCAAGAGAGAGAGATTAGCCATTTTTCTACTTAGTCATGAAAGGAATCTTTGAGAATTGAACCACACCTATGCTTGAGATGAAGAACAATAAGATCGAGAAGAGACTCGCTTATCATTTCCCGTACTAAGCAAAAGCATGATTCTCATCAATAGTTTTAAAGTGTTTTGAATTTCGAAAAGAAAAAGAAGTTTTTGTTTTAGATGCGTATGCGAAAGGAGAAAGAAAAGTCAAAAGGAGACTAACCTACTTCTAAACCTAATGTTATTATGCGTTAGTAGCCATAAGATTTAGGTTAAAGGGGAAATTTCTACCTGATGTTAGTATGCATGAATTTGAAAGCCTAATGTCTAATTTTAGTCCACTTAAATCGAAGATTAAATTTGAACCAAAATCTCCTAAGGAATCATGAAATAATATACGAACAAGTAAAATTAGGCAGCAAGTATCAAAATATCGCATACAATCCATAAAAATTGCAAGCGAAACACATGACATAAAAATGAGTAAAACTAATGATTAAAATTGAAAAGAAAAAGTGAGAGAATTGAAAAGAAATCTCTTTTATTTACCAATATTGCCAAAGAAAATAAATCGCCAAAATTAATCGCAAACGCAATCGAAATGAGTATGGGAAATAAGATCTCAGGAGGTACGAACTGAATTCACTATATGCTGCAAAAAATAGAATGACATTAGGCCCATCAAGATAAACACAATCAGCAAGAAAATAAAAATAATCATAGTCCAGGAATTGATTAGTTTGGCCCATGTCAACCATTCTTAATTTTATTAATCATCATATTATTATATTTATTTGTTGAATTAATAATAAAAAGAATAAAACATGCAATAGAATACTGGTTCAGAAAGAAAGAAATAAAATAAAAACAATTAAAACTAAAAAAGGAAAATATAGGAAAATTGAAAAAGGGGTTAGGGTTAAAAGAGAGAGTTGTTCTCTTCTTCTTCGCAGAACAACACGAACGGCGCCGACAGACACAGCCTTCTCCGCTTCTTCAGACAACTCGGCGGCGCGGCGGACTCCGCTTCCACGTCTCCGATCTCCAGCGGCCATGGTTTCATTCTCGCATCCTTCTCCTAGGCCGACGTTCTTCTACTTCGCGTCGCGGTCCTCTTTCCTCTTCTCCTCTCGTGATTGCAGTGGACGGCTTTTCTTTCACCTTAACACCGCCACGACCTTAAAACCTTCCGCCTCCGCTCACATTCACATGCGTTCTACTCATGGCAACGTTTCTGTGAGATGACGAATCCTTCAGGTATGAATGATCCGTTTTGCAATCTTCTCCTTCTTTCCTTCTTTGACTCTGTATTCTGTATTTTCTAGGCACGTGTTACAGTTGTTGATATGCGGTGCCGATTCATTGTTGTCGAATGTCATAGCCTAACGCGTTTCTTGAGATGACGTATAATGAGGTTGTTGTTGTTGTATGATGAAATACGAAGGAGATGCAGAGATGTGGTGTGAGGTTGGAGAAAGAAGGAGATTGAGGCTTGGAGAGTGAGGGAGTTTGAAGGAGTTGTTGTACGAATGTTGATGAAGATGAATCAGGGAGTAGAGAGAAAAATGCCTCAGATTTACGGTGAGTTCTCTATATCTTCCCCTTCTTTCTGATTGTAATTTTCTCTGATAAATTATGGTGGATCTGAGAGTGAATACGCCTTTTTTGAATCATGCCCTCTGAATATATGAATAAGTTAGTTGTAACTGAAATTCTGTTATGGTTAATTGGAAAATTGGTTAGGGGTTTTGTTAGACTGTTAGTTTGTTAGGGATGAGTTATGTTGTTTGTTATTCTGTTATGCAGTGTTAGAGATTCTGTCAGGTGGTTAAGAGTTGGGAAAAAGGAAAGTTGGTTATAGGGTTGTCTCTATTTTTTGGGTTATGGAAGTTTGTTAGCTGTTAGTTATAATTAATTATGAAATCTGTTTTGGGTTTGTTAAGTTAGTTAGGATTTGGGAAATGGAAAGTTGGTTATAGGCTGAAGTTAGGAAAAAGTTAGTTATGGATTATGGTGCTGTAAGTTACTTTGTTTATGTGCAGGGCTACCTTTATTTTCTGGTTATGGAATTGGTTTTGGTTAATTGAGATATGGTTTTGGATAGGAAGTTTGTTAGGAAATGTTTTATGAAAAAAAATATGTTTTTGTCTTTCATTATGCAGGTCCTTTTTGTTAAGCTGGGATTCAATTACAGGGTGGTTTTGAAAATGGTTGGGAGGTTTAGAAGTTGTTAAATGGTTGTTGTTATTTTCTGTTGCAAGTTAGTGTACTAGCGGTAGTGTAGGCGGTTCATGCTTATGACAGTTTATCTAATATTTTTGCAGGTTTGGTTCATATCAGGGCTATTGGGAAGCAAAGGCAAAAGGAAAACACCAAGATGATATGAAGTTGGAACAAAGACGCATAACACGAAGTTTTGGAAGCTTGAAGTTTGAAACATGAAGAATGATTGAAAATTAGGATAGGTTTTGGTAAAAATGTATAGATGTTATGTATAATTGTAATGGAATTTGGACTTGTATGTATTTGAATACACATTGGAATGTATGTTGACTTTATTTCCACATAATGAAATGGCCTTTGTATGAATTCAAATAAATGGTATGAATCCAAAATATTTGCAAGGTAATCAAAAGAGACATGAATCTTGAATGAATCCAAGAGAGGCTATTTGGACGATATTTTGATGGTTGGATGAATTTGATGCATGCTTTTTCATACTTGTGGTTTGAATCCAAGAAAAGCCACTCAAATATTTAAGAACTTTGATTTTCTCCAAATCCACTTCAAATATTAATGAATGAATTCTAATCAAACTACAGCTTCAATGAATCCCTAATTCAATACAATTTTCCGATCTAAACCAAATTTGCGTGTCAAGCAATAAGCATTTGAAATAATGACACCTTGATCACAATCAACATTTTGTACCATGTCCCGACTATATGAAAACTAGAACAACGACGTCTTGGACCCCTTCTCAACAGAAGATAATGACTATGCCCTGAGGGATTCTTTGCAGATGCATATGAAAGATGAGACATGCGAATACCTTGATATGGAATGAACCTCAGGTAGAATGCTGACAAGCTCAAGTATGAAAATGTATAAACCCTGATTTTTAGCTTCGTCTCATAAAACCTTGCAACTTGACATTGAGAAGAAAAGAATAGCCTCGTAGCTTGACGATGATGAGGTCCATGAAATGAAAACCTAGCTTCAAACAAATTATTAATGGAGAAATCAACCAAAACAAGCTTGTGCGAAGATGAGAGCCTTAAAGCCATACACCAACCCTTATTCCTCAAAATCCATTATCTTATGCCAATTTATCGATTAATGATGCATGATGTGTTAGATGACCTAATGGAAATTATATATGTGAGAAAAATGCAAAAATGCGTAAGCCAGATAGGAAGTAAAAGGGTAGGACAAATTTGGGGTATTACAGCCCTGAAGCCATCCATATACTTACTTTTCATTAATATTGAGTATGCTGTGAGAATTTTGGCCATGAACATTGGAGAAAATATAGGTCAGAAATTGGGGATGAAGAAATTCTCCCTCGTTTCTTAGAGTTAGGTCAAGTTTTTTATATGTATGAATTCGTCTCTTGATGCTCTACATTGTTTGTGTTATGAGTTTTTGCTAAAAATCAAAGAATCAGGAGTTTGTATTTTGAACAAAGAAGCGCGCGTTTGACAGAAGCTGGAGGAAGAAGATGATGGCTTGGGCTGGGCCTGAGCTATCCTTGTTTTTCACACCCTTTTTTTTCATCTACACCCCCCTGACCCATTGTGTGAAATATCCATTATTTTTGACTTTTTATTTTTTCTTCTGACTTGATATTTTTTGTCAAAACACAAAAAACATTAAAAATATTTTTCCACCCATTTTTGCATTTATTTGGCATTTATTTGTTTTATTTAACATATATATATATATAAACAAATATATTTCCTTTTTATTTAAAACACTAAAAAATAATACAAAAATATATTTATTTTCAGTTATTATTTTTCATTTACATTTTGAAAACATTTTCTAAAAAAATACATTTTTTGTAAGTAATTAATATTTTATTTTTTGTACATATTTAGCTTATTAAATATATATAAATATACTTATACATATTTTATTAAATATTTAGGACAAAAATATAAAAATAATACATTTTTATTTTTATTAAATATGTGACATCAAAAATACCTTTTTAACCATATACTTTTTATTTTGTGCATAAATTAATTTATTTTGTATATACTCAATAAATAAAAATGTTTATTCAAAAATTAGGGTTTAACCATAAGACAATAAAAATCACCAAAAATTGACTTTTTTATTTTGTTTATATTTCATATTGAAAAACATTTTCACATACAAAAAATCATTTTTGTGCATAATACATTTTGCATATTTATTGTATTTATTTTTATATTGTACAATTAAATATTTGTATAATTAAATATTTTTATATTGTACAATTAAATATTTTAATTTCTTGTTAAATATCCCCCCATTCAAACATTTGTACCCCCATCCCCATAATTATGTTGTAATAATTTAGGACTTTAAATTTCCGCATTTAAAAGCTTTCAAATTATGCCATGATAGACTTAGGGTTTGTATGCAAATAAAATAACAAATAGCTTGACCTAAATTCAAAGATAAAATGCATGAAAATGGACAACACCATACACACTTGCACCCTTAGGGTTACTCCACTTGTTGTCTTAAAAAATGGTCCATGTTGCATGTTGAGTGTCTTTGGCAAAACAAAAACAAATCAAATGATCATAGTCCCTCGATGACGCTTTCTCAAGTTGCCTAAAAAATGATCAAGTCCCTTAAAGGAAAAGTTGCCAAAGACACTTGGCACTATTGCATTCATGGTCTAAAAGATGACCCGCGCTCGTCCCATTAACATCCTAACACAAGATTGTCCACCAAGTACAATGGTGGAACAATACTGTTAAAAGAGTTAAAACATAGGAAAGATCTTTGAGAAATTTAGGGTAGATAGCTCTTGGTTACTTGACCAACTTGCAAAACAAATCGTTGCCATTTTTCAAAACACACTCCACAACACAAACTTTCAAAACAACTTTCAAAACATAGAAAACTTTTCAAAAGACAAATACACCTTTGTATACATCCAAACATGGATCATTACAAAGGTTGCCACAACAAATGGCCTTTTTTCAAAACCTTTTTCAAAATCACACACAAAGCACCATTTCAAATAATTGAAAGCACCATTTCAAACAATTGAAAAGCAAAGGCAAGTGATCTAAGCAAGTAACTAAGAGCCCATGGATAACCATGGATATAAAGGGTGCTAATACCTTCCCTTTCTATAATCTACTCCCCGAACCCAAGAAAACATCTCAAAGGTTTTTTTTTGTGCTTTTTAACCTTTCCTTAGGATAAAATAAAAAGTCGGTGGCGACTCTTGCTAAACCGAAACATTTGCGAAAACAAACGCAAAAACTCAAGTCAATTCTCCCACCGTATCACAGAACTAGCGACTCTGCTGGGGAGTTATTTAAAAGTGGAGTAACCTTAGGGCTTAGATCACCCTTTTGCATGACTAATTGTTTGCTTTGATTGCTTTACATTTTGGTTCTCTTGTTTGGGCTTGAAATCCTACACCCGAATTTGGGAAACATTCATAGATAGTAATACGTTGTGGAAACTGTGCGGGGTATACCGACACGGTTGAAGCAATAACTATATTAGTGCGACATATTTGTGAGTACCGGTAACCCTTGAGTTCAATCAAGGAGAGTACGGGGACGCTGAGTGATGTCACTAAGCACTAATGACCTAGAACCTTACTTGACCATCTTGCCCTTTTATTAGGGGTAGTGAGATGACCGGCTTTGGTGCAGTCCGAAGTTGGTAGATACTCGATACTACACTCATTGAGGGTTGTTTTCTTGGAAAATTTTGGTCGCTAGTTAAGTGGCTAAACCAAAACAATGAACATAGAAAACAATTCAATGATATTGAGCTCCTTAAAACCCGGTTACTATTTATAGGACAGGTTTTTAAGCCAACTTCACTCAAGAGGGTACTTACCTATGAAACCTCATGCAAGCCTGAAACTAGGGTTTTGTGTGACTTGCTTGTACATATGTTTGTGCATACATCATGAACATCATAAAGCATCATATGCATCCGCTAACCATTTCAAGGGTTTGGATCTTCATCTTTGTTCCTGTTTTGTAGGTCATGGAAATTCT